AATACTTGCTGAATGACTTATCTCACATTATTCTGAGACAAACTATCACACATTAACGACTTTCAAATTTTAGGCACATTATATATGCCCCAAACTCAAATTTGTGGCTCTGCAACTTTGCTTCGAGTTGCTTTCTCTGAAGTTGATGGATAACATGATTGTGTGGCAATACCATAGATTTAGCTTTATATGGCAGTAAAAAGCAACATAAAAGAAACTACTGTTTCACTTTGAAAGATAATCAAATTTCATATATAGCAAGAAAATTGTGACTCACTATTTATCACTTGATCCTATGTAATAGGTTTGCAAATTGTCCAAAAGCCACTCTTGAAATCCTCGGAAAGGGCCTCTTCACAAAAAGCCCATTAAAATTTCACCACACCCCCAATTACTAGGTAAAAGCCCTTCCAAAGCTTAGATGACTATTTTGCAATCTTCAGAAGGGCCAAAACTACCTCAAGCTAAAGGGACTATATCGGTTTTATCATCTTTTTTGCTTTTGAATGATAAAAAACCCTTCCTATAAGAGGATAGGTGATTAAACACCTTCAAGGAAACTTAAAGAACCAATTCTAGTTTTAAAATCAGCAAATACAAGCAAGTAAACAAGGGCAGGCACATTGGTAACATGTTCCAATCCAGCACCCTGCTTCATTTGTCAATCACACTTTCCATGTCAGATATTTCAGAGAGAATTGAACTGCAATATTCCACGTCAATTATGGTTTCTCTCATCAAGTCTGGGGCATAGCTCCCACAGCCACCCTCTTCTGCCCAAGAGACCATACTGGACTGCACGTTCAGCGCAGACAAGCCTAAAAATGTGCACAGTCCATCAGTTCAGTCTTAACTAAAGAACTCCTTGTATAGGTCTTCTAAACAGCGACCAAGTGAGATCATATGATCTCATTCCGTCACAAGGACAGAAACATAACAGAAACACAGGTGCTCAATTTGATCTAATCCTTATCTGCCTATGAATCGTATGCTTGTAACAATAGGCACAGACTACTCTGAAATAAAATCGATCAGGCATATGTGCAGGTTTTCTTTTGAGTAACAATATCCAGAAATGCCTGTGGGTATAACTGTTTCTTGGACATCTTTATCCTTGGCCATGAACCTCCTTTGATTTTTTGATTTCCTCAACTCTTCAATAACGATCCAAAGGAAGGAGGAGGAGGAAGGACAAAAAAAATAAAGTGACTAATTGAAATCCAACTACAAAAGAAAGATTTCATCAACGGCAATGTTAAACAAAATAATAACAGTGCCAATCACCCAGCAAACTCAGAGAGAATAATTACCAAAGTACAATTTGACCATATCAACTGCAAGAGTGAACAAGCTGAGAAAGCAAAGTTGAAAAACAACAACAAAAAAAAAGTCAACTTCAATTTAATCCCTAGTGACTAGTTAGTAATACAGGAATGCCCTCGTCTCCATCATACCTGGGGCACAAACTTGCAGTGGAATTTGATGAGATGAATCTCATTGAACAATCAAGTCACTACTTAAGATGCCGGCAACTTTTTTATGAAGAGCGTAGTCAACAATGTTCATAATGATAAGACAAGAAACAACCAGAATACCTTTAACGTCTCTGGTTGCAAAATATCTCTAATAAAACTTAATATTTTGAGACAAATGAAGATTAGAATATTAGATTAAGGAAATAAAGTACATACAGAATATACCAAATTTCATCAAATGGTTCCAGGAAAATTAGTGGTGCAAAAGACAGCTCAAGTTTATTTCCATGAACTAAGAACTTGGGAGGTAGCAGCGCCAAGTTTGCCAAGTGTAAAATTCACTTTAATCATTAACAATTAGCATTAGCCCATGAGGACACAAAACAGTTTTTGTATTCAATAAAATTTGTCCAGCCCTGGGGGCCAAACTTCTAACATTAGGAAAAAAAACAGAGCACAGGTCCTTTTCAAAATTATGTCACAAGAGCAAGAAACCATAAGTAGTGCCTCACCAATATTGAAAAAACTTGTGACAAAATGACAAACAAGAAAGCAAAAAGTCACAGCTTATTTGCATGGATTGCATGATTATTTACTTCTGTTGTAGTGAGGATCTATGCTATCACAGGAGGAGGAAGCTCTTTAATGAACAATTAGTAGAAAAGGTACAACATAACAAGCATAAGCCATAACAAGAACATATGCTGAAGCTTGTAAGGGACATGTGGTGATCTGATCTACTGAATTATAAGCCTGGATAAAAAATTCGTATGGCAAAAGCTAAGTCATCTAGCATCCCTTAAGTATTCGGCAGTAGATTGAGTTTATTACTTATCCAATCGTAATTAGCCTATACAAATCTTTAATTTCCTCACCTCATAGCTGTGTTGTGTTTTCAAGTCATTCTAACCACATTTATTTTGGCTTCTCAGAGTTCCTGCAGCCCCTTAAATTAACTTGCGTCCAGCATTCGAAGCATGCTAGTAGTTTATGCATCATTACATTACAGATTTACTCTTAACTAGTCAGCAATCCACCTCAGAAGGAAAAGCTAGCCACATGACATAACCATTTAATGAACACCATGTTGTCCCAGATGACAGGTAATTATCGGCCACAAGGCAACTCCAGAAACCGTTCCCCATTTCAAGTACCTGATCTCATTCCATGAGCAATTATGTCATCTATATTCCTCCTTGTGGACAATCAATCTAATGTAACAACAGTAATGTATCATTTCTAATTTAAACTTGAATACGTATGATTGCCTAAATTATGGCATGGCTCCATCATCCCGAGCCTTTGATTGTAAGAAAACCTCCCCATGATTCTAACTTCTTGTTCAAACCAATCATGGAAAAAAAATTACACTGATATTTGAAAACAGGATATGGAAAATTTCCTATAGAAAGAGAATCTCACATCAATTCCAAAGACATACTACAGATTTCTGTGCTATACCTCATTAAACAAGCCCATCCAAAGTTCACAAGATTCTTATAATCTTCTCCGGAGTCTGTTACGTTTTATTGGCAACTAACCATAAAGATCTGGTATTTCCTCCACCTTTCCAAACAAGGGACATCATATGCAGTCAAATACTTTTCTCTTTGAGATAATTCTCTTTGAGATCATTTATGGGGTGTCCTTTCCCCACTAAGAGCAATTTTGTTGCTCAAAACCGGGCAGAATGAAAAAAACCACATAAAAAAGATTGCAGAAACAAACATGGTGGTGAAAGGAAAAATATAGTCTATACTCTATAGCCAGTCAGTCCTCAATTTTATTGTCACCAACTGTGGGACATAGCCAAGTACTCTTACAAGTATTTTAGAAGCTAAAATCAAATTGAGGCGAAAATAAGTAAATATCCAACAAAAAACCCCAAAAAACATTAATTTCAAATCTTTTAGGTGAAGAGCAAAACTTGCCTTCTTAGACGTCGAGGATCCTGTCGAAAGGCTGGAGGTAAGGCAATTATTGGAGCTGTCCCACTTAACTGGGGCCCTGATCGTCCGTTTCTACCATTGCCTTCAAAAGGGGAAGGCCCGCCCTGCTCTCTCAACATCCGCATTGCAACTTCAGGAGGAGCAGGGACAAAAGGCCCTAATGGACTGCGATCATAGTCATAAATAAACAGTATTGAACATAAAAAATAAGATACCAACTGCCACTAGGGCAAAAACCAAACAATTGAACAAATGGAAGTTGCCACAAATACCAAATTAGAGTACAAACTGAACTTACCCAGCACCAGGAACAGGCATCAGTACAGGAGGAGGGGGTATATCTGATGGGAACGGAGCAACATTTATCCCTTGTGCACCAAAAGTGTCAAACATTGGATCATCAGGATTGTCTCCAACTGGGCCATCATTGCTGGACTGGAAGCCGGTTGACTGTTGGTTCTCCGACCTATCATATCTTTCACCACCATTAGCTCGATTGTCAAGTTCTCTACGGTTTCCTCGTTCATCTTTTGTTCGGTTATCAGGACCAAGCCTGCGCCTCAGGGGCTTCTCCTTCTGCAAAGAGATATTAGATTTAGATGATGCAACATCATCGCCATAGAATTAAATGATAAAACTATTGTTCATGCATATCCAACCAAATAATCGAAACAATACTTCATCTGATGTGAGGGGTGAAAAACTAGTCCAAAAAGAAGAAAAAAAAGTTTCATTCCCTCCTTTTTATGGTTGAGAAGCCTTTCCTTCAAACAGGAAAGGCAAAAAAAAAAAGGGAGGTTTCCTTCCACATCCTTTTAGTCAGAGTGGATCAAATTTGGCGAACCTGCAGAGCAAACAACATCCCCTCACTGGCAAACTGCAATAGGGAAAAAAAACCGAAAAACCTTTTCTACTCCTTTCGTTTACCATTTCTTTCCTTCCAAAAGCTGATAACTCCATCCATCCCACCCTTTCCCTTACTTTCTTCCCTCATTATATAAAAACTAGAAACCTCAGTTTAACTGGAAAAGTGAGTAAAGCCCCCAGTTCAGTTTAAATACCAGCAAATTTTGAGAATATAATTAAAGAAACTGAGAGCAGACAGGGGAGGCAGCCAAGAATTCAAAATATATGCCTGCTGAAATCTTCAATTAATTTCAAGTTGTCAATTGTAACCTTCTGGCTAGTTATGTGTCAATTGCAATAGAACAAATTCTTCCACTGTTTCCCAACTTTGAATGAGGAAAAATAGCTTAAAACCAAATTCATCTCTACTGCAACAGTGAACATAAACAAATGGAAAAACAATAATCTTTGGAAACTATTTGTCTGAACTACACGAATCAATTGGAAGATAGAACGAAATTAAGAGTTTTTGGCAGCCAGACCAGAATCGTCAAGAACAATTGATATTAGCATTGTATACTATATCATTGCTACGTATACGACAATAGTACGAGGTTACTTACTTGGTTCAGATTAGTCAAATATCCCAACAAAAACATGAGAGCAACATCAGAAGCATTAAGAGTATTCAAAGTGGAAATAATATCTGCAGTACCATTTAGGCATATCTACTGATTTTTAAATCTGGTGAAAAAACTTCAGCACTAGTCTTGCATAATCAAAATCATTTAAGCGCTCCAAGAGAACTAAAATCCAGCTGATATACTCGACGCAGTATTAAGTACAAATTCCCCCACCAACTTTGGCTGATTTTACAATTAACTTCATCATTTTTGTATTCCGACAAGTTACCCCTACACTCTGAACATTTTTTATTCAATATCTACCATTAATGGCCAACTATTAAAAGTGAGGGAAATTTGTCATGTGAATCTCATGTCATTTACACTTCAATAAAAAGACAAAATCAACCTTGTTTATCTCTCATGTTTGAATAAGAGAAAAACTTAAAAAGTATTGCCTCCCCAATGGCAACCCCCAAATCTGAAGCCCTCACACCTCTCCGGCGGGAACGCCGGACAGCAACCCTGCAATTGAATCCCCAAACAACGCAACCCCCTCCTCCCCCAAAGAAGCTCCCTCCCGCAGAAGATTTTGCCACCCCAACACCCGGCCCCCCCTTCCCCCCTGCGCCAGGGGAAAAAAACCCCATCCCTCTAGTCAGCAATGCCCAACAGCTTCATCACAGCTAACCTGCTCTCCCCTCTATCTCGTGACCACAACCACCACCTTCAACACTATCCGAACCCACCACCATCTCCACTCAACACCACAAACACATGTTTCATATGTTCATTCATCGGATTGTGAACCAAATCACACAACTTTTACTATATCTAGTTGCCAACTCCTTCAAACCGAAATCTCTTACTACTTTTAGTGGCAGACAAATAGGGAGAAGAGGAGACAATGCATCGATTCCTAAAATTTGATTTGTGGTTGAATGGGACAAAATCAAAAGTAAAAATGGCAAATTGAGAAGCATTGTTCTATTTAATACTTACTATTATGTAAATATATATATATATATATATATATATGGAAAGAGAAATAGACAAAGATATGCATCGATATATATGTGTAGATATATGCGGAGGTGTGATTATATACAGATGTGTGAGTGTATGTAATTGCCACCAACACACATCTCAATAGTTCAATCATCAAATTGCGAACCACATCACACACCTCTTACTATATCCAGTGGCCAACTCCTTCCAATCAAAATCTCTTGCTACTTTTAGTGGCACAGAAAGACAAAGAAGAGGAGACGATGCATCAATTCCCGAAATCTAACTTGTAATTGAATGGGACAAAATGAGATATATATTGCTTTTACATGTTGCATAGGTCCAATTGAAGAGAGAAAGAAACAATTTCCAACAGTGTAGATATATGAGGCCAAGTAAGAGGAAATAAAATAAACTTAAAGACAGTATTTTGCGAATTCTGTACTTTCAGTCTACTCTGACAGTTAATTTAGTCTAGCGAAAATTTTGAGGGAGTTGATTGCAATATCAACCAAACCTGGTTGGGGCAATCTAGAATTAATCCTTTGCTATAAATCACAATATGAACAGTTCAATATACAGATTGTGAGGTTACCTACCGCTTGCTGAAATAACATGCATCTCTCTGCATGTCCAACACATTGACAGCCAAAAATGTTGTGCACACCCTTTTAGACTTCTTTATTTCCTCCATTTTGAGGGGTGAGGTGCTGTGGCAATATGGAGGGGTGAGGTGCTTGAAGAACATCATATCGTAGGTGTTATATTTCTAAGAACGTGATTCCGGTGCTCAAAACCCACAAGTGCAATATAGGATCATTTTCCATATGCCACTTAAGCAACAAGGGTTGTACTAATAATGTACGTTTCTAGTAGCACAAACACTTCAACTGTAGAGATGAGTCCAACTCAGAAACAAGACCACATAATACCACTAAAAACTTGGAGAAGGGCCAAATCCAATCCACACGTCTTTCTTTTGTACACATTGCAGAAATGCCAACTTCATGAACATGGCGACTCTTCTTTTATAAGGAAACCATATCATTGTCATGCAAAAATTACAAGAATGGACTTAGAAAGAATGATTCCACGGAAGAGTGCAGGGCATTGTACATATACAAACAATTATGCCCACAACAGAAGCATCACAAACAGAAAAACCATAGCAAATTGTCCAGCCAAAACTTGGGGAAGCTGCTACTTCTAATGCCTTGCATCCATCGAAGAAGAGGATATATGTTTGCAGGTCCTAAGTTCAAAGTAAAATTGTAAACTAATTCAACATATTTTCAATGACTTAACTGTAAAAATGCTATACATTCAAAGAGCTTCAGGTTTCTAAGTTCAACAGGTCTATAGAGGCTGCTACAATCCTGCCTTGGAAATCTATGTCAGCTGAAGTAGAAAGATGGACTGAAGACCGTTTTCTGGATTTTCTTTAAACGAACTCTTTAGTTTATATGTCCTATCTAAAATCAGAAGGGGAAGGGGTTGGATGGATGTGAATAACAACTGCAAATTTTAAATAAATCAATTTTTTATCAGCAAATTTTTAATACATCATACCGGTACAGATGACTGCATTACAGGCGTCCCACCAGGTGCATCTTCATCGCTGTAATGATTAACACCACCTATCATGTTCTGAAATAAGCATATCCATAAAAACTGACACAAAAGAACTGCACTTACTTCATATAATTCTGAAAATACAGGTCTTCACGCACTTTAGAAGTCAGCTCCATCACAAGTTCAGGATGTTTTAACTTTAGATGCTTCTGGACAAACTCTGAAGCATGGAAGAGCTTCGTACAACCTTTGGCTCCACAACCATACTTCCACCCATACTTCTCATCCCTAATTTTTCGGACATATGGATCTAAAGCTTCAACTGCAGCAGCATCTATCTTCTCCTTGGCTGTCATTGTCTCCAAGGGATCCTGACCTTTCAACCTCTCTTGCCAACGCACATCTAGTTTCTTTTCCCATTCAGCTCCATTACTAGTAACATCAGAACTCTTGCCATCTGTTCTCACATGTCGGAGACCCTTGGCTTCACTTACTTCAATCAATCCATAATAATCCAGTCCATGAACACGCCATAGGTAAGTAATAAGTGTATCCAATAGCTCAATCCCCTCAAGACCTTTGACTGAGGTTAAACCCCGTATAATAATAACTGGGCCAGAGCTACCACCATGAGACTTGTCTCTGCTCATTCTGTCATTATCAACCCTGCATAGTGTATTATCCTCGATTCCCTTTTCCGAGTCAAGTTTCCGCACCAGTGCCTGTGCTTGTTCAATGTCAATTTGTATTCTTCTGGACTCAGAACTGACCGGGTGAACCTTGGGAGCAGCTGAAAGAAGATCACTTTCTTTAGCCGCACCCCTGCCATGACGTCTTCTTTTGCCATTCGCATCTGCTTCATCATCAGAATTAAGATCACCAGTCTGCCCTGATTTGTTTGCAGATGAACCACTGACACCAGGACCTCTGCTTCATGCAAAGAGAGGTGAGTGGTATCGTATTATAGTAAAAAAAATTGGTAGCATATTTGGAATGTCCAAATATAAAGTGCACGAGTGTAGAGCTTACAAATCCAAAGTCCCACTCTGCAAATCGAGCAAAAAATCCTTCGCCATCTTCCGTGCAAGCTCATTCCTCCTAGAAAGACAGAACGAGAGCAATTTAAAATTACCATAAATCAAATTAAAACAAATAACAAATAGGGAAAAAGAAAAAACCAACCTACTCACGGAAATAACAATTGCCCGAATAATAATGGCAATATATTCCTCTTTACACATAAATATGTTTTTCTATTTTAACAAACAACAGAGCACACCTTTCTATGACAGCAAGCAAGTTTGTAGGATGATACTTCTCTTTCAACCTACACAAACAAGCAACTTCAATGGAAAAAAAATGACAGAACACTAAAAATAAAAAGATATCAAAAGAAAGATGGGATGTACCACTCTTCATCTTTATGAGCATCGAAGAAAGTTCGTTTCTGAGTTGATATGTACTCTGTCCTGTATTCTTGGTATCTGTGTAATGGGAAGGCCAAAATTAGCGAAGTATTTTAACTATAAAAGAAAACAAATGAAAATTTTGTCCACGTAAAGTAATTAAGTTCTAGGACAGTGGAAGACTAGAACAAATGAGACGTTGCATTTTTGTACCTGCGCTCAGCTTCAGCAGGCAGGATATCATCTTCAAGTTCCTGAATGAATTGCTTATAAGACATCAATCCTTCTCTGTGAAATGAACTTACAGTGTCACTTTGTTGTCTGAGTTAAATTCCAGTAGTCCAGTATATTGTGTGGTAGAAGAAACTATAACACCCATACAGAAAATAAAAGCTATTATAAATGACCTGAGGTCTGGATGAAACAATAGAATGCAGAAATTTTTCACACTAATTTCCTTTGGTCCCTCTTTATTTTCCCTGCTTTCCAATCTTATAGAGTGCAGGTCTACAAACAATTTTCAGATGAAACCAGAAAAAGAACAGTAGGAATAATGCAATTGCATAGAAATCAGATCATTTTGGACCATTGACTTTGATTAGAATACTTGATACACCTAATATTATATTGAAAATATAAGTTATCTAATTCTAATCCTAAACTCCATCTGTGAACTTCACATATCTGGTCTAATCTAACTCCAAGTATAAATATCTGTTTTGGGTCATTGGTCTTTGTTTTTTCTTTATCATCTACATCATCATCTCCCTTTACGAGTCTCCCTATCTCTCTAATTTGTTTCTGTCTAAACTCTCTCCCATTTTCCAAAACATATTCACATACTGGTATAATCTAACTCCAAGTACAAATATTTGATTTGGGCCATTGGTCTTTGTTTTTCTTCATCATCTACATCATTATCTACCTTTAAATGTCTCCATCTATCTCTCTAAGTCTCTGATTGTGTTTGTTAACTCAAATTCAGTACTTAAAATGAATGTATTCGCCACTTATTAATTAAGTCCACTTTTGATAACTAAAATTAATATCTCTTAGTATATTAAGTACTCCTTAAAAATAGGTTAAAATATTAAGAAGGATATCCCTTACTTAATTCTAAATGTTGAAAGAGCTGAACAAAAACACCTTTAATAATATTTACAATATAACAATTCTACCCCGAAATATTTTACAATCATATTCAAACTTTAATTAGTATTCTCTCCAAAACTCCAAAATTATCTATCGGCCTCACGTTCATTCTTCCCATCGTCTTCTTAGCATTCACACACAAATACCAGGTAAGTTACTTCTTTCCCTTGTCTTCTTCAGCGCGAACGTACACACATAATCTCACACACACACAAATTTACATGCACAATCACACACACAAAGACCGAGATTTATACACAATCACATAAACATTGATTTTCATACACACAGAGACTGCACACACAAGGATACAGTTTATGCAATGCACACATGCATACACTGCACACTCACACTACACACATAGAGATGTAGAACACACGCACACTGCACACACTGCACACAAACACAAATCACATGCACCGACACTCACAAGCACACACACACACACACACATGCGCGCAAATATTTCTTTCAATTTGTTGTTAATGAAATTTAATTTGTTATATTTTTTGAATATTTATTAGTTATTGTTCACTTATTGTGTTATTCAATTTGTTATTATTCTATTCTTTCTTTGATATTGGTTAACAGTTTATTTGTTAAATTATTTTATATGTATTTGTTGAATTTGCTATTGTTCAATTATTTTATATATATTTGCTGAATTTGCTATCATTCACTTCTTTTCTAGTTCAGTTATTTCTTTGTCTTGCGATCAATTATATCTTTATTCAAATTTTTTTTTTTTGTTGAGAGTGTCAATGAGCAACTACTTTTGAAGATTAATCGTCTTGTGTTGTTTAATACTTTTAATTTTCAATTTGTTTTCTTGTATTAACTATTCTAGTTGGTCACAAAAAATAATTTGATTGTTTTAAGCAACAACATATACATCTTACCTTGAACGTGACTGAACGTGCTTTTGGAGTATTGAAAGCTCATTTTTTGAAATTGAAAAAGATGACATCATATCCTTTTACTGTACAAAGGAATATTGTAATTGCTTGAGTAAGCCTGCATAATTTTATTCGACAAATTCATATCACAGATGCATTTTTGGGCCAATTTAGTGATGTGAATGTTACTTATGGCAATCCCCATCAAAATTTGATAGGTTCAACTAGCTTGAAAACTGGAGGAGCATAGGAACAAGCTGATCAAATTTTTAGCAATGCAATTATACTCTTGATTTGTATCCTAGTTATAATTTTTAAAATTTATGACAATTGATAGCTTTAATCTTTAAGTGATCAATGTAATTTGAATTAATTTTATTATTATGTATGTTAAATGTTGAGTACAATATGATAATAATGATTATGATTTATGTTAAGAATTACTTGTAGTGATATATCGTGGTTTTTTATTTGTTAAATGCATATTTTATAAATATTTTAAAAGTAAAGGGTAAAACTAAAAATTAATTTATTTTCAAATATCAGCTCTACATAGTTATTAAACAGTTTGGTTTAATTCAGTATTTAAATTTCAGTAAGTACTAAACAATCGGCAACTTAAAAATTCAACATTCAATTTGAAACCTCAACTTTCAGATTTATCAAACACCACCACTCTCTCTAACCCGTTTCTCTCTCTGTCTCTCTCCCCCATGTTTTATTTTATTGGGAACCACTTTAAGAAATAAACCTCTTTTTTTGGTGTAAGCTCTTATTCCGGTGAAACTAAACCTTAGTTCTAAGAAACATACCTCCCTAGCTTTGTTGAACTACCCCTTTCCTTTTATAACCTTTACATGAAATCTGATGTTGAAATTGGTGAAGGATATCAATGATCCTAAAATGAGTTGTATTTTGCAAAGTATTCCTGCTTTCAGATGTACTTTGGAATTTGACATAATCAACCTTGTTAGAAAATTTTCTGTAATTTGATCTATGCTATCGAGATTGGCTTCAATGAGTAGCGTCTGATGTACTTGTGTGGAATTAATTTTATTTTGCGAAATATTTTTAATATATGATGTAATTTGCTAAAATTTGATAACATAAGGTGATTAAGTTTGCCAAAAAAATTCTTGCTGAGATTTATTGTAGATGCCGTGTTGGCCCAACATTTTCTGAAATTTGTTATATTTACTTGTATTTGTGTTTATTTTGTAATTATTACATATTATCTATAATATTTGCGTTGCTTCAATAAGAGAACTTGGCACCTAGGTACCCCTTTCATCTTAAATAAGGCTGATGAATACAGTTATAGGGCGGGGCAACTTTACACATTTCGATGAGGACTCCTGCAAATAACTCTTTTTAGAGCATCAAATTCAAAATAAATTGACAATGAGTGGAGTAGCTCCACCAGTTTATAAGCCATTATTGGGTGATCCTAATCAGTCGATGTGGGATTCAAGATTTGGTCAGGGTCACACGTGGGGCTAACAAAAAAACAACAATGCATTCCAAGAAATTCAAATGAAAAAGAGACTTGGTCCACTGACCACTCAAGGCCTAACTCTAATAACATGTTAGAGCATCCAACTTAAAATCGATTGGCAATGAGTGAAATAGCCCTTCAAGTATATAAATCAACCTTGAGTAATCCTAATTAGTCAATATGGGGTACATCATCTTTTAACAACTACTATAGGAACGTTTCTAATATTCCTTGAGAATGATTCTAATACAAACTTAACAAAAGTTAAATCCTTGCCGGTGGGATCCACACACGTGAAAGGTAAGAAGTCTGAAAGCAAAAGTTCATGACCAAGTAACTTCATAGAAGGGAAACTGTTGAACACTTCCAAGGCAACTCAATTGAGAATAATATTATTTATATATCTGAACTCAATAAACACACGAGAGAAAAATGGGAGATGAAGCCTCAACACTATTCAATACTCTATAAACAAAGTGATACACTCACCTTTGAGCACCTCCTGCATTGGGAGCATCAATGTAACCACCACGACCTGAATCCCAGTCTACACAAAAAAAATACCCAAAATGATTTAAAAAATTTCAATAGAAAGAGAAACAAATAAAAAAGCTAAGCTAATAAAGGTTGATAAATGACAATACTTGTAATTTTGCATGGAATGTAGCTCATTGAAAGCTCAATCCATGTGATTTGTAACATCACATCAAACTCTTTTCTTTCCCTCTGTTGGTGCGTAAAGTGTAAAACATGTTGTGACAATGTAGATCATCTCTTTCTCCATTGCCTAGTGGCTTGAAGTTGTGGCATAGAGCTTTTAACAAGTTTAATTTGAGTTGGGTTATCCCAATTTTAAAATTTGAGTTGTTTTTAACTCGTTTTTAATAAAGTTGTTTCTTAATGAAAAAAAAAAAGATGAGAGTGGAGCAATGGAGATAAAGTAGGTGGTTAATTGGAGTTGAGAAGGTGGTGTTGATAATTTGTTAATGGACATAATAGGCTGAGCTTTGGACAAAACAATTGGATAATGGTGTGTTCAATTTCCAGTGTTCAACCTAGTTGGTGTTTTTCAAAATCTATGATCAAATTCGACCGAACACGTACTTAGGAGTTGAAGAGGGTGCGGATTATCAGAAGTTCTAGTGTGTGTTTTAATTCCAGAACTTCCATGGGAAATGGCAATAGTCTACGGTATGTGAAAGAACCAACCAATTGTGTCTTGTTTTGTATAAATTCCAAATGATCTTGATATGAACACTCAAGAATAAGATATCAGGACTACCGACACCACCTATCACACATGGAAACATTGATGGACTGGGACCCAATAGCAAATTCCACCTTAGATTTCTCCATGGACAAATATTGACATGATCAAACATCTTGAACCATTTATTTGTCCATCTTCCTTTAGATGGTATAAAATTGAGAACTGCTACAAATTATCATATCATGTCATCTAATGATGTATGAAATTATTGAAAACTTGCTCCATTGGTGAGGCACAAATGCAAGTTCTTTTATTTATATTTGAACAAATGATACAGAAAATATTGTGGTAAATATAATCCAAGAACTTGGATAGTAGCATTCAACATAAATTGGTAGAATTGAATCATCACATGCACGTGGTATAGCAAACCAATACATTTGTCAAATGATTACCAGATGGACCACTTTGATAGCCACCCACGCGGCCAATGTATCGACCACGAGGCCGTTCGTCAGGATAACCCAGCCTGCCCCCCATCTCACGATCATATCCACTAGGATAATCATATCCAAACCTGTTCGAACAAAGATATCATGTTGTTATAGCCAAGTAAGATTAGCTCATACTCCAGACAAACTCGAACTTAAACAATAAAGATTAAGGAAAGAAGACGCCCTCTGGTCAGGCACTTGTCTTTTAGATACTACTCCCTCTGTCACACTAATTTGGGACACTTTTTGAGGACCCAACTCACACATGTGAAACCAAAGTTTACCAACGATGCTATATGAAAAAGTACTTCGACTTTCAATTAGAAGACTCTACTTTTAGAGAAATGCGAAAAAAGAAGGTTGGGATCTGCATAATGAAGGAAATGTGAAAGTATTTCTAGACATGCCTTCTTCAGTAGGGATTAAATTGTAAAAGATTCATAAAGGCGAAAGAAACCAGAAAGATTATGTATCAAAGAAAATCTCCAAATTCTAAGCTAAAATTGCCATGAAATATGTGAGAGAAAAGTGTCTCTTGTAAGAAGAAAAATGTGATAAATACAACAAATGGAGAAAGACATATAATCTAAAATTTTCAACATTATTTGTGCGTGTATAATGTCAGATCCTATAACACCTAAAGGGCCAAACTCAATAATCATATTCAACAAACTAAAAATGCTTAACCACATATTAGGAGAATAACAATGCACATGAAAGCAGAGTCTTCTTGACATAGCAACACCTCAAACCATCCTCCCATTCTTTTCCTCTTTTTATTTTTTTAATCTTCAGGCTCTCCAACCTTTTCAGCTACTTATTGGTTTTGGTCCAGAAAGTTAAGGTCTTACACCAAGCTACCACCTATACACATAAGCTTTGCATTTTTCCAGCAACTACCAAATACATGAATCTAACACATATATGTGAAAGTAGAGAACAAAGCCACCCCCAACAACAGCAACATTAGAAGGTGATAGTATTATGTATGCACATCAGTGCATCTATGCCTATGACTATGCATCTGTATGTGTTTGCATGGTCATAATATAAACGTCAATTACTCATAGATCCTAGTAATCAACAAACATATAGATGAACACCATTTTGTTGGCCAAACATTAAATAGATGCAAACATACAATTATGTGAGTCGTGGAGTATACAATGCACTAATCCTCAATAGGAAGTGCCATACCTCATATTGATTTAAACTTAAGCAACATAAACTAAACTATTCAAATAATTTTACACAACGAAAGGCACTATTTTTGGCTAAGCATTCGAGTGCTTGTAACCAGCTACCCCACCAAATCCTAGTAAATTTGTATGGAAAATCCTTCAATTGTGAACATTAGATAGCAATATTTGTCCAAAAGTATATGCCAATGGATCCGGAAAATATTAGGGGTGCAAATTCAACCAGATAACCCGAACCCAACTCGAAATTTTCACTACTTGGGTAGAAGCTTCCAATATTTGCATTGGGCATAGACAGAAAACTCAAAACCTAAATTAAAGTTGGGCAATACGCGGGTTAAGAGCATCGGGTTTGGACCCAACTTGAAACTTGACCGAATTTCTTAATTCGGGTTTGATATGTTTCCTGTTTTTTATAAGCAAATTTACATACTAAAATAAAATAGGGAAGGGTAGGGTTACCTGGTTTTTACTGCCCAAGCCACCGCCTCTTTCTAAATCTCTTTTCTCTCACTCTCTTTCACCCACATAAATAATATATCCGATTCTAATTATCTATCTAGAAGGGAAACATAAGGGTTGGGTTGGGCCTCCCCACTCTCTTTCCCTCACCGCATCACCATCCTCTGCGGCTCAACCCTTGGGTTTTCTTGTTCATCAATCATTCTCTCTCTCTCTCTCTCTCTCTCTCTCACACACACACACACACAATCTCCCATCCTAATGCATCTTGTGCATGCCTAAAATACAAGATGGATGAATACTGTTCGAGTCCGCTCTTCATCTTGTGCAACTTGTGCTCAATTCTGGTGTTTACTTCTTCCATAATGTCGGCTTCAAGAAATTCCACTATCTCGATCTTGCCAGGCTAGTACTCCAGTCATAGGATTTGTGCAAAATTCACGGGAGACCCATCAATACTAATTCCAGATTTTACAGCCAAATGACCGAAGACCCATCAATACTGGTAATTGTCAGCATATAACTCGACATAGGGCATACATATAAATGCTTGTGTACATATATTCCCGTACCTCCAAGCCAATATATGTACAAAAAACTACCAAAATCACTGAGCACCAGCAAAACTCAACTAATCTCGTTTAGAATAACGTATTAACCAGCACTTAGATATCTTATATGTAGTTATGGGGCAGGGACTAGGAGAGAAGGGAAGGAAATTAATCAACTGACCTCCTATCGCCAGGTCCGTACCCTCCTCTAGGGCTACCACGCCGCCCATCATATCCACCCTCATCCCTCCTCGACCGCTTATATGGTGGCGGCGGCGACCTTCGCTGAGGCGAATGGCCTCCACGTCTATCCCTATACGGAGGAGGAGGACTAGGGCTCCCTCTTCCCCTTTTATAATCCCTTTCTCGAATTGGTGGAGGAGGCGGCGGCGAACGATTCCGATCGTAGTACTCTCCGCGACCTCTCGGCGGCCGATCTATGTCGCGGTCATCTCTTCTCTCTCGTGAATCTCTATCTCGCCGTCTAGGTGGTGGCGGAGGCGAGTCAGGATGCTCTTCGGTGGGCTTGTTTTCTTTACGGTCTACGGAATCCACGGGCATGTTCATGACTTCTGCCATTGGGTGGAGACCCTAGAAATATAGCAGAAAAGTTTGTATACGAGAGAGAGAGAGAGAGGGGAATTAGGTGAGGATGGAGTGAAGACTTATTTCGAGTTTCCGAGGAGAGAGTGATAAAATGTAAACGGTAAAATGAACTTTCCCCAGTGTTTGGCTTCTAAAACTTGCGAATGAATAGGTGGAGAAACAAAATAGAAGGTTAAAAAGAGAACGAAAGTAAAGGAAAGGGATAATCGCATTTTACACCCCAAAATTTCACAATTTTCACTTTATATCCTCAAGGTTGAAATTATTTTTGATGGAATGAAGGGTGCAAACTACCAAAAGAGTTACATTGTAATATTTTTAACATATTGAAAATGTAATATGAAAAATTTAATATTTGAAGATATAAAAGAGGGTCCTTAAATCTTTTAAAATAAAAAATACAATTCATTCAAAGGAAAAAAGAAGATCATGTTTGTATTATCTCGATCGAGTTACGTCTCAGACTTCATGTCACTTTTCATTCAGTAAAAATAGATAATTGTGTAAATAATTTTGTTGTGCAATAAAAGATGGGAGCGCAATGAATTTAAAAAAAACAATTGATGACACTTAGTTGAACAAATCTCCACTCATTTTTATTGAAAAATTCTCCACTCGACTCTTGCTTATGCATTGTTCAGTAGACTCTTTTTTTGTTTTTGAGTGTTGTGTATTTGTGCTCTCTCTTCTAACTAATATGTGTTTGCTCTTTTGACTAATATTCTCTTCAAAGTCCTAAATTACAAACCTAGAATACTTGACTTGAATACCTTTTGAAATTCAGCATCAACCAATGGTAGTCTTAAACCCATGAGTATACTTGTGGAATTAGCCCAAAATCGTAGGGTGTTGTTGTAATTGTTCTTTTAATAAAGATCGGTGCACAATGAAATTTCCGCGTTCAACATTTTTCTCAACTCAACGCCCAAAATGTGGCGTCGCAGTCAAGATCTCCTACGCAGAGCCGTACCCAGACTCGCTGCACCCCCACTCTCTCTTTCTCCTCACACCCTTGAATTGGCAAACCCTAGATTCATCATCACAAATTCATCTTCAAGCCCGAGCTTATCGATATGGAGGCGAAAGAAAGAGATGGGCAAAGAAGGCTTAATCGTAGCCAAGGAGCTGAAGAGACTGCAATTGAACCCGGTCCGGTTCGACCGGTTCATGAAGTCCCACGTCTCTCGTCTCCTCAAATCCGACCTCGTTGCCGTCCTCGCTGAGTTTCAAAGGCAAGACCTCGTCTCTCTTTCCATGAAGGTGGGTCATTTTTCTATGACTATTAATTGGTTGAACCGTGTTTGGTTGCTGAGAAAATGCAGGAAAACAAGAATATTTTGATATGTAAATATTTTTTTAGTGCATGTCGTTTTGTTGGGATTGCCAGTGGACAATAATGCTACCCCTTAAAGCTCATCTCAATCACTCTCCAAAACAACAAACTAGAAATCATAAGGCACCAAATTTGCTTTATACATATCATTTTACAAGCAGAGACTGGATGTCCTGCCAATGGAAAAAAAATGTGGCTTTGGGTGTCCATGATAATTGCAGGAATCGCGTACTTGCCAACTGCCAACATATCCAAAATTCATGGTCAAGATGTAAAGATGATTAGACAAATGGTCTCATTATTCCTGGCAAAATTCAAATTTCCACAATATCATGTATGGAAACTCTTTTTAAAAGTACTGTTTGTCTGAAATTTTTGGTGATTGCCCTGTACATATTGAATTGTGAATTTCATGTCCCTAGGAAGATTAGTTGTGGGTTCTAAGAGGTTAAGATACCTCCTTGTTAAAAAAAAGAAGGGGGGGGGGGGGGAAAGAAAAGAAAACAGAAAAATGGTGAGAATGCAAAGAGAACCAAAGTAAAGCTTGGGTTGCTAGCAGCGTATTGGTGTAGTTTTTCATCAGTATTGTTGTGGAGGAAGTGAAGCTTATTGGCTGTCAATTTATCCCCACACTATTGAGTCACATTTGCCAATCCATTCTTTTTGGAAATCTTGTACCTTTAGGCTTGTGCTTGTCAATTAACAGAACTAGTGAGAAACTGTACTTTGGTATATCTCTTATGTTCGGGCATAGCAAAGTGAAGCATGATGAAGCCTCCATGATCATTGGAAAACCACTTCTCTAATCTCTATAGGATCCAAATAGTTAACTGTTAATGTCTGATTACCTCAATGTGTAACCACACAAAGGTTGTGAATGCCACTCTTTATGGAAGTAGGTAGGATATGATGCCCATAAAATTATGACATGGTTTGCTGATTTCCTTGGAGAATTGCCTTTTGGATAATTTGTGTTTCTATAACCCTTGCGCTTTCAACAATCAAAGCTAAAATTGGGTCTGTGGCACCGTGTTTACCATTATTTTTTAATAGTGACCTTTCTTGGATTCTAAGTGACTTTTGTAGCAAGGAGCTCTTTCAATTTTGCTATTGGGCAAGTTTTTTTTGGGAATCAACAATTTGGCTAAAAATGTGATTTTAGTGGTAGTTTCTTTATACCAACTGGACCCCTTCGTTAAATTTGGCTATTGGGCATGCTTTCTTTGTTGCAGCTGTTGCATATATATAAGTTTGCCTTTGCATATATATAAGTTTCTCTTTTTTATTCTTTTTGTATATTCCTGCTACATTTTGGTTCTCCTAAATTGTTTCATGCTACTTATATACCATTATAAAGGGTACAGATGATCAAGAAAAAAGGTTTCAGTTGATGCTTAGGACTAAGCTTAAGCTGCAACCTGGTTCTCACAGATACATGAAACCCTGTAGGGAAGTATGCTCCTCTTGTTGACCTGATGCTGTTGGGTTATAGTTTTATTTCTTACTTAAATCTGCACAAAGAGGTGAAAAGGAAAGGGAATTAGAATCACGTTTTATGCTTGGCAGTTTTGAACCATTATTCTCTCCTGGAAACATATAAACTAGGAGTTCTGTGACAATGCAACATATTTGTGATATTATTCAAAGAAAGCATGCTCAGGGACTACCTTGAATTATGGGCTATGTTATGAAATTTTATGTTTCATTCTACAGTTGTATGATGTGGTGCGTAAAGAAATATGGTATCGGCCAGACATGTTCTTTTATAGGGATATGCTTATGATGCTTGCAAGGAACAAGAAGGTAGATGAAACAAAGCAGGTATGGGAAGATCTGAAGAGAGAAGAAGTCCTTTTTGATCAGCATACCTTTGGTGATATTATCAGGGCCTTCTTAGATGGTGGACTGCCCTCAGAGGCAATGGCCATATATGATGAAATGAGGGGATCTCCCGAACCCCCACTATCTTTGCCTTATCGGGTCATATTAAAAGGGCTCCTTCCCTATCCAGAATTGAGAGAGAAGGTAAAGGATGACTTCTTGGAACTTTTCCCGGATATGATTGTTTACGACCCACCTGAAGACCTCTTGGAAGAAGGGAACTGGAGAAGGGACAGTGAAGATGATTAGAGGATGCTGCTGATGCACTATAAGATTTGATCTATGATCAACTCTTCTGGGGCCTGACTGGCAAGGTTGGGAAAGGACAGGGTATCTACCAAGTTTGGGAAGAGGTACAAAATTCCCAATGGGATGTCTGCCCCTTCTAAATGCTGTGATTTGTTGGAGAATATTCAAGTTTGGGAGCTCAATCGACAAGAAATGAGGTATTGACAGATTCCCCCCCTCCCACCAAAAAAAAAACTTTGGTCAGGCACATGTTTTGCAGTTCAGGTACCTGAAGCCGTATGTTGAGAGAAGTAAATAATAAAATTTGTTTTTAAATCGATAGTAACTTGTGCACACTATAATTAGGGAAAGATGTTGTTGACATCCTTGTATTTGTTGGTTATGTGTCATTTATACACGCTGTTAGAACATTAGTCGGAAGTTCTACATTGTATGCGCTAGTTTGTCCTTGAAATTTATAGGAGGGCGAATGACATTTTGTCCTTTAAAAGATCCCAGCATTTTTTATTTACCCCTTACCCAAGTCAGTTTGAAGTGTCCCTTCGATTTTTTCCCATTTAAATTTTGTTTAGGGCGAATGGCATTTGGTCCCTGTAAAGTTCCAAGAAGTCATCTGTTATATTTGTGATCTTATATCATTTGCTAGATGTCTTATAGCTTGTTGCTTTTATTCGCTGGTTGGAAAAGGACATGATGTCCTGGTATTCCTAATTAATGTGCTACTTGTCCCCCATTTCGGGTTACTTTATATTGAGCAAATAATTGAAAAATTTGTGGAACTATGCATATATTTCATGTGCTATTGATACAGTCTCGGACAGAGAATACAACTGATCTGTTTTCTGCAAATTCCAACAGCCGAATAGCTATAGAAGTGCACCGAAGATCAGTGGTAGTAAAAAGAAGAGTGGGAGATGATGAGCTGCATAGAGTTTGCAAACTTGAACAAGGTTTGCCTGAAGGATTGTTTTTTCCTACTAAAGGTTAACGAGTTAGTAGATGCCATTGCTGGTCATGTTCAGATGGCTTCTGTAGATGCTACTGTGCGATACCATTAGATAACTACTACTCAATTAGTGTTTTGGTACAATCTAATATCATTCAAACTCGAGACTTTAGGAGCAACCTCTCGCAAGGTTTGGTGAGAAACATGGTCCGAGAATGAACTAAGTAAGAAGGTCTAAACGACACTTGTGAAAAGTCGCGAAAAAGAAAATCTCATAGTCCTTGAGAGAGAGATTTAAAATTCTTCGTTGTTATGGAATGAAGTTGAATGCAGGCAAAATGTTTGCACGAGTTCAGTTTAAGGAATTTTTTTGGGCTTGTAAAGATTCATGAAAGGAAGACCATAAAGAAAGTCCAAAAGCTAATAGAAATGATGGCTTATTGGAATAGATTTATCTCAGTTAGAGGATAAATGCGATTTTATTTTGTATAAAACAAAAACAAAACAAAAAAAAAAAGGATTTTTGTGACCATGCGTGAATTTTTTTATTTTTATTTTTAGTATAAGGTGTTTAAACTCACGTTGACTACTGGTAAGGTAAAAAAAAATGTCGAACCTAAAATTTTTGAACTATCAATTACCATACTTAACTACTAAATGAATGTAATTAATCTCTCCAAACCACTTTCAATCTTTCCACTCTCAAACCCAAAGAATTCGAGGATCCCGAATGCCGCGTTTCAATCAAATATTTTCTGCCAATAAGTTGCAACCCAAATGCAACTATGACCCGATAAGGCATTGATCATGAATTGGTCCAACAATGCCATCATTTGTTTTATTAATATTATACTTTATTTTTGTATTTAATCAAAATATAATGCATTTATTTTGTAAAATTTTGTTGCATTAATTTACTTCGTTATTTTTATTATAAATACATAGATCGAAGGTCTATGACTATAAATCCTTTTTCAGTATAATATTAAAGATAAGGCCAAGTTAACTTCATAATAAGGTCAAGCGTTCAAGTTTTTATGACGACGAAAATGTGGTTAATTGATAGGACAGAATCTCAATTGTTTAGACGAACTGTATTTAACTCTTTGGTATGGGTTTGAATCTCTACCGAAACGCAAGTCCTAATTTAACTAGTGTATAAATTGAGGGACAAATTCATACACCTAAGGGTTTACCTTCGATTCTACTCAGACTCACTAGTTTGAGTGATATAAGCACGTCATTACTCACCAAAAACTTTGCCTTGTGAAAACTTTACTTTCTTGAATTCAAGGGTTCAAGCTTTTCCCCCTCTCACCCAAAAAAAAAAAATACTCACTGGGAACTAATCAAAAATTTCCCTTGTTACCAAAAAAAAAAAACTCCAATTTTTTTTTTCGTGCCGTAGCAAATCAATTAGGGACTTGATTTAATTAATTTGTAATCCCTTTTTTTTTTTGATCAAATCCTAACCATTGACTCTAACAGAGTCAGGGCCAAAAAATACTTATTAACACACACACGCACCCGAAACTTTCCGATGTGGGATAGCCTAGTCCCCCAACACCCCACATGATTACCAGTACGGCAGGGCCTCTGGCAAAAAATGTGGGATTTCAGCTCAGCATCGAACGCTCCCTTTGAGAGGTTCTGGTTTTTTTGATTAAATCCTAACCACCGACTCGAACAGAGTTAGGGTCAGGAAAGACTTATGAACACACACACACGAACCTATCCGATGTGGGATAGCCCGTAATCCCTTCATATGTCGAATACTAAACTGAGTTCAAACAATAAAATCTTACACGAGTTACATTTTTATTTAATGAAAAATGAAAGCATGATATTAAGAAATTATTTTTTAATTTTATCCGACCTGACGGATTGGAATTTTTGGATTTCATGTTCTAAGCTGATTAGTTGAGAAATACTATTTCTTTGGTCGATTGTACCTAATTGAGGGTAATATTATGAATCCGTCCAAAAAATCGGCTTGGGAGGTCGGGTAAGAATGTGGAACGCCTCACAAATTTTCAAACTTTAAGTTATTAATTTTTGGGTCATTTTAACAAATTAATTACCAATTTATTGGGCTACTTTTGCAACTAGACTTAAAAAATAATATAAAGATATGTAAACCAACACAATAAAATAATAAAACTGAAGAAAATACAATAAATTTGATTAATATGTTCTCTAATAATCTAAAACACCATAAATAAACACACAATCACAAGTCAAAAATGTCATATGCTTCATAAATGACATTATTTTAGGACAATCAAAACGATGTCATTTTATAACATATTATTTAATATATATACACATGAAGGTCAAGTAAAAATACAAAAATTTTATAAGTATTCTACATTCATACCCGCTATTCATGAAATACTAAAAAAAATCTTTCATTAACTGGCCAAAAAAGTGCAGACGGCGAATTATTGGGTATAGTAGGGTTGAAATATTACAGAACATATCAGAGAGGTAGAATTTTGAACACACTTAATTATAATTTTTTTTCCCGGTCCGATAACCTTATCCAAACGAATTATTGTTTATTTTGTCTTTGGCAGTATGAATGATATGCATTAAAGGGCAGCACTATGGCATTGATATTATATTTTTTAGTATCATACAAAAAAATAAAAGGATATTCAAAAGTGATAATTTCCGTCCAAAAGATAATAATAATTTCACCCCAAAAATAACAACTTTTTTGAGCTGATCCACTTTTTTGAATATTCTTCTACTTTTCAATATGATAATGAAAAAAGTAATTTTATGTTTATTAAATTTTATAGTTTAAATTAGTGTAAGTGGTTGGATCAATAAAATTAACGAACTTTTATTAAAAATTCAATGCACAAAATTTTAATATATTATTTAAAATACAATACTTGATAAATAAATTTGAGAGTAAAATATCAATGTCACAGTGCTATCCTGCATTAAATTGCACAATAGATGAACTACTTGATTGAGGAAAATGTTACATATTTCACATGAAAACTAAAAATTATAATATAAATGTACATTATTTTTCAAATGGGTGTTGGATAAGTGTATTTTATCAAAAAATTAATAGAATCCACTCATTTAAAAGATGATATACCTTTAAATTATAACTTTTTTAGTTCTATTTGAATTGTATAATATTACTCATTAATTGAATATTAACTTTACTCTTTAAAATATGTCCCAAATTTTCATCCTAAATGCTTCTGTATTATTTCCTTCGTTTCTAAATATCTGTCGTTTTACTCAATTTTTTTTGTTCCACAACATCTATCGTTTTATGAAACCAAAGCATAATTAATATTTTTTCTTCTAAATTTACCTTTATTTCTGTTTTTCAATAAGTGCTTAATAGATTAAGTGTAGGCTAAGTGTCTTTAATATTCATTTTCTTCTCAATATGTATTAAATAAGAATATTTTAATCTTATATAATTATTTTTTATTCATACTAAAATTATTTAATAATTTTTTTAATTGTTGTGTAAAAATCTTAAACAACGTATATTTAAAAACGGTGGAACACACATAATCTATTGTGGGCCCAAAAAATCAACTTGTTTACCTACTGTGTGGTGCAGAAGCATTTAAGATGAAGAGTTTGGATATCTTTTGGGAGCATCGACATTTTTCATTGATTTTTACTTGTTTACTCCAAATCTATGGGCGCGTGTGGCAAAAAAAAAAAACAAAACAAAAAAAACAGTGGGCGCGTGCGAATTTTTTACAAAGGTGAGCCGTGCGCGTAACGATTAACAGTTTTCAACGAGTCCGTCCCACGCGTTTTATTGTGACTTGCGATTCCTCCAATTTTTTTTTCTCTCTCCTCTGTCTATAAATAGAACCCCTGTTTCTCTGTGTTTTAGCAATAACTGATTCATTGAAACGGACGGAGAGAAGAGTGTCTTTTCGATTTTCAAGCGATTACAATGGCAACTGTGGGAGGGATTCGCCCGGTCGAGGGATCTGAGAACAGTCTCGAGATCGAAAGTCTCGCTCGATTCGCCGTCGACGAGCACAATAAGAAGGAGGTACCCCTTTCTTTGATCTGTCTTTATCTCTCTTAAAATCTCTGTCTACTTTTCGATTATAAAATGAATGTAGTATCACCAAATGTTCATCACTATATTGTTTCGTCGTTGGAGTTTCCAAAAAAATGGAGCTAATATTAACTGTCCACGCAATCTAGGTTGGTGGAAGAAGAGGCCAAGAGGGGGTTGGGGGGGAGTGTTTGAGGTGATGACTCAAGAGACGGGTTTGGATATTGGAACTTTAGAGTAGGGGACAAGCCTATATAATTTGATTTTGTTCCAATTTAGCTGAGGGGCACAGTCTTAGTTACATAATCTTTCTAAATCCTAACGCTCTTGTGTTCTGTGGGCGACTAATTTGTGCTCTTCCTTACTTATTATTGCTCAAAATCTAAATTTGATTGACATAAGTCTAAATTTGAGTTTTAAATTCGAATCAAAATTCACATGAGGCGAACCTAGTGTAGCCTTAGCTTGGACAAGACGAGCCAAGTTCCCACAAAAATGTTTTGGGCTCAACGATCTCAAGCGATCCCGAACAATCTACGTGAGCAGAACAATTTGTTGTTGGCTTGGTTTGGTTTGATTTGGATAATTTGTAACCTAAAAATAATGGATCAAGGGACAAAGATTAGAAGGACCACGACATTGATCTGGAGGAGGTCCCTCCGATGCCTAAGTTTAGTAATACGATCTATACATGAACAAGTGGATGTATAAAATAAGAGAAATATAATCAGGGTGTGTGTTGGGTTGGGGGGTATAGAGCTGAAGTACTCATACCGGAGCCCTTGCCTTTGGATTTGCACCCATTTTTATAAAGAAAATGGAGAGCTACTTACTGGTGAACCTTTGTCTGTGAGTCAAATAAGTAAACCTTTGTCTATGATTCATTTGACTCACAACTGGTAATCAATTGAAGACATAGCTTCTCGGATTGTACATTTCATGAGTCGTGTGCTATATTTTGTTGGTATTGAAAATGGTGCTTGATTCTAATTGGTCCTCCAAAATACATAGATAGATAAATGAAAATCATTGCTCAGACTCGACTCATTTATCAAACAAATTTTAAAATTGAATTCAAACTCGGTTCATTTGATAAATAAACAAACATGAACGAGCTTTTATGCGAACTTATCTTGAGCTCATATTTGAAACCTTAATCATTGCACAAGTTTTGAAGAATTAAAAGCATGAAGAGTCTGTTCTTCCTAAGTTTCTCTTTATTTCTGCAATTACAGCTCCCAAAAACCTATTGAAAGAATTCTTCGAGCTAAACCAAAAATCTTGGACCTGTCCTTGCATGCAAATACATTGTGCGTCAAGGTAGTGTTTCTTAGAAGTAGTGAATTTTTGAGTGGTGACAGGATTCTTTTCTCATAAACCGTTGTTTATTTTGTTACATCAATTTACTTCATTATTTTTATGATGAGTAACAATAAATGAATAGATCAAAGATCTATGACTATAAATCATTTTTTTTTTTGGTATAATATCAAGGACAAGTTAAGACTACAATACCTCCAAAAAAATTTTATACCTTACCAAAATCAATTGGGAGTTTGATTTAATTAATTTGTAGCCCCTTGATTAGCAGAACACTACGATAAAATAATAAAATTTTACACGAGTTACAGTTTTATTTGACCAAAATCAAGGTATGATATTAAAAAACTATTTGGATTCTAATATCAATGTTGTTGGGTATGATAACCTTATCCTTTTTTTGCCTAGTTTCATTTTCTTAAATGTATGCATGTTTTCTATATTCGGTTTTTGGTGGCCTATTACATATATAGTAATAGAAAAAAACGTTGATGACTTTATTTCTTTATCTTGTTTAATGTATCTGAATTTGTGATAATGTTCAAATTTGGACAGTTCATTAAGGATGTCTAATTTTCTCATTTCCAATATATGCTTGCTTCTCTACATCTATGGGTTTTTGGAGGCTAAATCTGTAAATGTAAACAGTGTTGTTTGCTTTAATACTTCCATCTCCTGTGTATTTGATGTTATGTTCAAGTAAAATATGTAAATTTGTTGTGCAGAATGCACTGTTGGAGTTTGGAAAGGTAGTTAATGTGAAGGTGCAAGTGGTTACTGGTACAATGTACTACATCACACTGGAGGCAACCGATGGTGGTCAGAAGAAACTTTATGAGGCCAAGATCTGGGTGAAGCCCTGGCTGAACTTCAAGGAGGTCCAGGAATTCAAGCCGATTGGTAACACCCCTAGCACTGCTTAATTTGTTAGGTAATTACAACTGTTGTTAGAGAATAAGTGATCTATCCAAGCTTCAACGAATGGGAATTCCGTTAAGTACTTATCTTTATGTGCTATGGTGTCAAGGTGTTCAATGTTGTAGTTTTCAGTAATGCGTAATTGTACCAGTTGTTATTGATAGTACATCACACTCATGTAGTTGAAATTGAAAAGGATGTCAGCATCTATCTTCTCTCTTGCATGATGGGAACGTATGACCTTGTTTAGTTTGCGTCTAAAAAAAAGTATCCGAAAATTATTTTTGTGAAGAGTTTTACTGGTTATATGATTCTATATGTTGTCTGTCCACCTCTTCTGAAAGAACGAATCCGAGCGTATCAATGGAATGCCCTGAACAGAACCATATCGAAAGACTTTTTCCATATTCTTTGTTTTTTTCTTCTTTTCAATCCGAAGCATATGTTCTCCACCAAAATAAAATTATTGTGCATACAGCTGTGGTGGCTCCTTTCATTTTAAACGAGTCCAAACGAAAGGCTCTTCCACTTTTTGGTTGAAGTAGCCACGACTTTGCTCGTAGTCAATGTAAAGACATAAACCCAATCCATTTACAGCCATGTTGATCAAAATGACCAAGTTTAATGACTTTACTAGCTATGACTTCCAACCCGCGTCATAAGTGATCTTCGACCAACCCTCTGGACAGATCAAAGAGGAACTAGAATAGAGGAAGTCATGAGGATAGCTGAAGGCAAGAAATAGAAATAAGTAAAATTTGTTTGGACAATAACTCATAAAACAATGAAAACAAAAATATAGTGGCGGTGGTAGACGTGGTGGTGGTGGAAATGTGTTAGTGGTGGATGAGGTGGTGGTGATATTTTTTAAATTCTGAAAATGTTGTTTTAAAAATATACAAAATAGTCTTAATTTATTCTCTAAGGACGTGTTTGGTAATCGGGTGTGTTTTTTTTTCATTTATTTAAAAAAATAAAAATAAAATGTGTTTGTTGAATGCTTTCACTTTTTTTACTGTTCCGTTTTGAAAATAAGGCCAAAATATGAAAACATCCAAAAAAAACACACATACGCTTGACTTCAAAATGAGATTTAATGAGATTTTGACTTCAATCATCCTTACCAACAAAAAATGAATTTTTTTGCTTGAGTATAAAAACTCCCTTCCCCTCTTTGATTTCTTTTTTTTTTGGCCAGCTCCCTCTCTCTCTCTCTCTCTCTCTCTCTCTCTCTCTCTCTCTCTCTCTCTCTCCTTCTCTGTTTTTCTTGCTTGGGTTTTATAGGGGTTGGGTGGTAGATTTTGGTGGTGATGGATAGGGGGTTTTACGAAGGGTTTGAGCAGTGGATAGAGGGTTTTACAGAGGGTTTGGGTGGTGGATTTTGAGGGTAGCGGTGGGGTCGAGTGGTGGTGGATGGTGGATTTTGTTAGGGGGTTGTGCGGTGGTGGATTTCAAGAGTGGATGATGGGTTTTACAAGACGATTAGGTGGTGGGTTTTTTTGGGGGGGTGGTGGTGGATTTCGAGGGTGGTGGGTTTTGTAGGGGGTTAGGTGGTGGGTTTTGCAGGGGTGGTTGATTTTAGGGATTTTGCGGGGGTTGTGGAGGTGGATTTCTGTGATTGGGTGTTTGGCGGTGGTTGCTGGTGGTGGGTTTTGCTAGAGAGTTGGGTGGTGGTTTTGGTAGTGTTTCGGTTGGGGTTGGGTGTTAGGTGGTTGGTTATGGATTTTTGGTATAATACCAAATATATTTTTTATTTTATTTTTATAATTTTTTAAATATAAATAATTATCAAACATTTTTTATATTTTCAGTTTTTATCACAAAAAAAATAAAAACGAAAACGTTACCAAACGCACTCTACTACTCACTTTTTGTTCTTAGTTTTCCAAAAATAAGGATCTAGAACAACCCCCCCCCCCCCCCCCCCCCCCCCTCCCCCCAGGAAACAGGTTTAATGTATACACATGCTACATACATAAATGCCCCCATTCAATGAAAGAGCTCAAATCTTTTCAAGAAAGGTTAGCATATATTCAACAGTTCATTTCAAATTTCTTAGAATTAATGAAGAAAAGAGTAAATGAATGGAACAAAAAATGCCAACACGCTTTTGACGGCCTATTTACTAAAATCCCGAGAAATTAAGTATTTTGGGAGGGAAAGTTTGTCAATCATCTCTCGAACAACTTGATTATTTATTAGCCAATATATCAGTGGCTAATTAGGGTGTGTGAGACTGGTGGAGAGAGTTGATGAATGCCAAGGACAAAGACTGGTCGTTATCAAGAGGTGGTGTTCTGATTTAGTGTTTTTCCTTTGTTATATTGAGGTAATTGGAGATTCTCTCTTCTTTTTGAACTGCTTTATAGTGGGACAGACATATATTTATCAGTATCTTTGCGATCAGTTTGTTCATCCTCATGAAACCCACCCTAACGAGGCAGGATCATATTGAATTCATCTTGTAGAACGAGTAGATTCCAAATACCTACAATCACTCGCTAAATATAGATATCTGTTAAAATGATGAGATACCAATGAGTTGAAAGAAATGGAATGACTAGTTGGAAAGCATTGTGTGAATTGTTAAACATCAAAGGTGTAACCGATTCTACCACTACCACAAATGGTGGCACGCTAACACACTTTCCTGTCTTCAAACCCCAACCTTCAAAATCCAATACAAGGAAAATAACCAAAGAAACGTTCTGCTATCAGCACCATTTTATTGCCCTATATGGTATTTCTAAGACAAACTTTGGCTGATCACAATGGGAAAGATATCTAAGGCACCTTAAAGATATCACGCACAATGCCCAGGCTGCATTCTTGACCCGGTGAAGCAACTACAACAACCTTTTGCCTGCAGTCACTGCTAAAACCCTCAATCAAGAAGTGCCCAAATAGCATCTTTCAGGATGGGGAGGTCCTTACCATTCTCCGTAGTACAGCCAAAACAATTCATACCAAGTAAGAAATCTGGCCTTGAAAGAATCATCTGACTTAGCACTTCATCGTTTCTGTCATCTCGTGTAGAAAGCCAGTCAACTGCCTCTTGCTTAACTTTGCATCCTCCAAAGTAACACAGGAAATCACATTAATATAACAGTCAACTTCATCCAGCAAAATTAAGTACTCAACTCAATCTATCAATACTACAGGGAAACAAAACACTCCTACCTGACACGAACTGGACTGGCTGGGGTCCATCATGTGAGCTTCCATTGATAGAAATGCATTCGTTGAAAGTTGATGCAGGAGAAGGACCTAAAGGAGAGATTAAGTTACCATACACTTCCCATTCTGTTCCATTCTGAGACGGACTGTTCACCATATCACCAGGCATTACAGAAGCACTAGGAGTCTGCTGGCATGAAGTTTTCTTGGTGTTTTTCAGAGTTTGTGATCCATAGAGTACAGCTTCCAACAGGCCATTGTTCCGTGGTGAAAGACCATCCGGTTGTGTCTGCTCAGTAGGAGGTGAGTGGATAAAAGTATCAACAGATTCAAGATATGGCAGTGGAGAGGATGGTGACCCCCAGCTACCCACCTGAGTATCTGAATATTGGAGTGAAGGGAGCTCCTGCTTCATTGCCCAAGAGATGGGTTCTGAAGAAGAGGAATTGCCATTTGAAGGGGCATGGCTGCCACGAGGTAAACATGAGAATGATGGGTGGTTGGCAATAACACTATGATTATATGCACAAGAAAACCCAAAGGATTGAGAAATCTTCTCAGAACTATCATTTTGATATTGTGTAAATGCTGGGCTAGGATCACTGACACTAGCACTCAAACCAGGGGAAAGGACTCTGATTCTCGAAGACGCTTGGCTGGATGATTTGTTGAGAACGAAAAGTCATTACCGCAGGAAGAACTAAAACTGGGTGCAATCAAGGTACTTGCCATAATGTCAGGCGAGCTACTCGCAGAAATATCAAGTGATGGCGGATACAGAAGCAGATTGAATTCCAAATTTTTGAATTCCACAGCCGGAATCTCAAAGTTACTGGTCAAGAAGAGATCAGCATTAGTTCTGTCCCCAGAAGAGAATGCACTCATGTTCAGACTTTCTTGGTTCTCACTGAATGCTTGCAAACAGATATCAGGAGGGTAGATTGGTAAGCCAGCACGTTGTCGCCTCTTGATTCTAGTATTCCAGTAATTCTTTATCTCGTTATCTGTACGACCAGGCAACTGATAGGAAATGAAAATTAGCTCAAAACAAACGAGACAGAGCAGCACAAAGGAAGACCAATAAGCCCAAGTCCAAACACCATCTCCAAAGCTTCTATCTATTTCAATGGAAAAATGAACTAAAAAATAAGCTCTTCATAGCACCAATGTGATTTGATATTGTAAGCTGTAGAATGAGTCAGGCTGCATGCACATTTAAGCTAATATGAAGCTTCATCTGGAAAAATGTTACGTGTAAACAAACGTGAGCGTGTGTATGTGTATGTGTATGTGTATGTGTTTATATTCTGCAAGCACAATAGCATGGTAAGTTCTCCTGTACCATATCCAAGTAAAACTGCCTAAAAGGCAAAATAAGGATAAATGCATTCGTTTCTACACGATAAATAAAAGCCATGAACTCTATTAGTCAGAAACTAAATATTTATTCAAAAAAAAGGAGACATAAAATAGTGGTGGATAAGGCATGTATAATATGCAGGGAACAAGTAACATCATTTTTCCTTCTCATGAGAATTGCAACGTGCTTTTTTTTT